CATCCTTCTGGCGTGTCAACTGCACCACTCGGCTTGGTGTCGCCTGCAAACTTGCTGAGGGTGCACTTGATCCCACTGTCTGTGTCATTGATGAAGATGTTAAATAGCACCGGTCCCAGTACGGACTCCTGAGGGTCCCCACTTGTCACCGGAATCACCCTGTTACAATATGATCTTTAAAGAGAGAGGTTGAGCTATAGCACGCAGTATCTGTACTCCAGTAATATACTTCACGTGCTCAGATTTGGTTAAATCCAGTATTATTTAGCTTTCTTTGCTACAGCAATGCAACTAGGGAAGTCAGGCATATACTTGCACAACACTGGGACTGTTCATTTGTCCATGCTATCATCATCTCTTTAGAAATTGCCCTAGGTCTGCATCTAGCAGTCTGTCTCACTTGTTCTGTAAATATTGGCCTTATCCAGATTCATGTTTTGTTTTGAGATTCACAGGATGTACTAACAGCAGATAAAATACTGGCTCTTCTGTGACCTTTCAGGTGGCTTGAATTTGGATTTGTCCCTGTAATACTTCCTTACTGCATGCATTTCTGTGTTCCATGGCTCAAGCTATGTGAATTAGGATGATGTCTCTTTTGCCTGTTATCCGTGTTTACAGGATTTGGGGGTGGAGGGAGTGGTATTATACTAAGATTCCAACAAGGTCAATGAAAGCTATAGATGCAGAAATAAGTCATAACATTTTTAAAAATCTTACCCAATATTACTGGGTTTTTTTGGAAGCAGCCTATAATGGAGAATAATAGCAATGTGTTTTCAGGCAGCATGTGGAATGCTGTTTATAAGTCCCTTCCCTAAGCTCTATGGCATTTGCTTTGTTTCTTGACTATGTTTTATCTTGGAAGTGTTCTATCTTGAGGAGTCTGTATAGCACAAAGCAGAAGAGGCATTATAGTTCCTGGAATTCTGAACAGCAAAACAAACCGCAGTGGTAATACAGGCAACCATTTCACTGGAAAATCTTGTTCAACAAATCTGCAGTTTGATTCTTTTGAGACCTTCACTCACATACGTAGCCCAAATGAACATAGTGAGATCTGAACAAATAGCTGTTTGCAAAATTTACTACTTATCTGTTAAAAAACCCAAACAAACAAAAAACCCACCCAACCGAAACCAGAATAACCCCAAACCCACAAGCCAAACACAAAAAAACAAACAGGGAAAAAACCAAACAGACCAAACCCCCTTCCCTTAGGGGTGGGAGGAGGATAATAGCTCAAGTGTCCTGCTTTCTTGAAATTATAGGAATGAAGTAGGAACTGAATGGTCATAGTTCCAGACAGTGCTCTTCTGTACGAGTATGACACTTGGTTTTTCATATCAGTGTGGCCAAGATACACACTGAATTAACAGATGTGAGTCAGGTAATTTTATCACCTCATATTGGAAGACTTTGCTGTTGTGTTACGCTTTCTTTTGATAGATCAGGGTAATTAGGGTTTAGCCACTGAAGTCACACATGTATTTTAGAACAAGCTAAATATTCTGTATATGCTAAATTAACCTTTCAAATGTGGAGCAAGATTCATTTGTCAAACACCTTTCAGCAAAATAAGCAAAAGCTGTTCATTTAATCTCTGATGAAGTTTATTAATTAAAACCAAACAAAACTACTTGTTGCTAATAGACCAATTAAGTACATATGAAGGAAGCTAATTTAGCAGAACTGACACACACATATGAATTTTCTATTAGGCTCTAATGTGAAGTGTTCTTAAGAAGATCTGCTTTAAATGATTGACACTCAATATGTTTCAAGTATACTTTGAACGCATATGCAGGAATTGAGTGTGTCTGCAACCTACCCAAGAAAGACTCCTTATAAAGTGCTAAGAGAAGTGGCTGAAACAAAAAATACTTGAAATAGGTACACTAAAGATGCTCTTTGGCCTGCAGAAAGAGTTGATGAGCAATTTCTACACAGAAAGTGCTGGAAGGAGACAAATTGTGGAAGATGGTGTGTGTGTATAGAGGAATGTATTTGATTTTTCTTTCATCTGAAAGGATCACCTATTTAGTGAGGCCTAACTGTGCCAAAAGGAGGAAGAATTGCTACCGGGCACCTCAGAATTATGGCCAGGGAAATACTTAAAGGGAGGAAGAAAGAAGTGCTGTACGTTTAACTTGTTTGAACAGGTAAAGTCATATCTAATCAGGAAACCCAAAGCTGAAGAAACTGTAGAGTTGTTTTTTCATCTAACTCTACAGGACAAATCTGAAAACTACGCAAACAGATACATTTGAAAAAATGAGCGTCATAAATGAAATTCTGTAACTTACTGCCTTACAGGAAAATTACAGTAGTAATTTTTGACTGTTGGTAGCATTCTCTTCAAATATAGCAAAGAAATGGGTAGTGTGCCATTCATATATAGGTAAGGAAAGACAGAAGAGGAATTTAAACCAAACAAACTGTTTAGGAATTTATTGATGATTTTGAGACCTAAAGCAAGTTTTCAAACTTGTGTAGTCATGAAATTATTCTATGCAGAATGACAGTGCTTCTTAGCACTTTATTTGCCGTATTTTACATAAATAAAATTGTCAACAGATCTTGGTTGCTTTTTCTCACGATAGCTGTTAAGCACATAAGACTCTGACTGTGCTTTCTGCTTGTAGTCTGCGCTATCTGCCCAGAAATGATACTTTTGGTTCTCAAATTTTAATTCACAGTATATCTGGGGCAGCACCAGTGTTCATCAGAAAGTCAGTAGGCAAAGAAAGACATGGTGTTCTTCAACATAGTCTGTTTCGTCTAGGTCTGGTGGTGCTCCTGCAGCAGGCAATACAGAGCAACTAATTCTTGCATAATTTATTGCCTTAGAAAAGGTGATTAAAAGAATGTTTATCAGAACCTACTTGAAATCAGATGAGGTGGACTAATGATATTAATCTCAATAAGTTTCAGGAACAAGCAGATGAACAAAGTGGTATTTGTGAGGCTTTATGCTTACTTTGTTAACTCGGCAACTGAACACAGAAAACATGATCAAAACACTCCAAGGGGAAAGGGAAAGTAATTCCTATCAAGGAAACATTGTTTGTGGTGTGTTATAATTTCTATAGTCATCTTGTATTGTGAGATAATATTGCAAATACCGGTTGAGTTCTATCCTTACAGGCAGTGTAGGTGCAAGACCAATTATAGATTGATAATCAGATTACCAACAAAACTGAGTGTATGTTAGTGAATGTAATGAACCAGTAGAAACTAAGTATAAGCTATAGTTAAATCTGGTTAGGATTCATAGGCATAGAGGACTGGCAAAATCTCTATAGAAGCTCTAAATCAACTAGAAGCAGCACAGACCAGACCATTAAAACTGTAGCACAATATTGCAGAGGATACACCTGAAAGACTATTATTTTTGTATTAAAAACCCTTAAGTTTTGTTTGAGATGCTACTACAGGTGCTAAAGTGCACAGTTAACCTCCTAAAACACCTCTGCCTTTTCCTGAATAGGTTGATCATGAAGATCATGAAGATGTCTATGCTGATAAGAACTGTACATTTTTCTGTGATGTCTTAGCTGCATACAGAACATTAACCTGCTAAGATTGGTTTACTTCTGAGATAAGGACCAGATAGCTATGTTATGTTTAGGGATATACCCTTTTGTCTCCACTACAGTAAGTCTCTTTGGTGAAAGAGAAATCAATGGAGGTTCCAGCTCATGTTATTATAAGGTATAGCTGCAGCATGCTGAAAATCTAGTATCTTGAATTCCTCATCTTGTGAGTGATCTAAATTTACAAGGGGGTCCTGTAATGCTAGTGAATAAATCACTGGATGCAACTTGTCATGCCCAGAAGTGGTTCCGTGTTTCAAAACATCTGTACCTTGTTGTAGCTGTGGTACCAGTGTGTGTCTTTTTTTTACTGGAGTCATGTCAAAGCTTTGATTTCTGTGTCTTTCACCTTTTTCAGTCAAATGGCCATGTTTGCTGTGATGGCCCTCACTTTTATCATAGACAGCATCATGGCAACATCTTGTAGGGCTGCTCTAATGTGGCAGGTAGGCACTGAAACTGGCCAGTGCATTGGGCTGGGAGCAAATCAAAGCACTCCCTAGTCATCTCCACTGGCTCTCACATCTGCTTGGAGGCACACATACTGCTCATTTGGGTTGTACAGTTGCTGTGCCGCTGGCACAGACTGTGACCTGACTGTCCTATCAGCAGCTAATGATAGTACTCCATTACTTCTTGTGTTTGAAACTGAAGGCTATCTTGCTAGTCACTTATCGCTGCACACTCAACAATTATAACATTTCTGACTGAAATAGCATTTTCCCCTTTCATGTCAAGTAAATCTGATATTGCATCACTGAAGCCGCTGAGTTTTGCTACCTGAGAACTTCTACTAATTATGGCTTATTCACTCTAATATTCTAGACAGAAGAAAAAAAATAATTCTACCCTTAACTTTTTTCTCAGTAAATACTTGCAATTCTGCTTATTTCATACAGCTTGAGCCAAGGAAAACCCTGTTTGGCTTGCAAAGGGATCAAACCAGGATCTGAATCCACCACCTACTTAGAAGCAAGCCTTAAGAAAGATCTTAAATGCAAACTGCAGCTAAACTGAAGTACTTCAGTTTCAGGGTTCTTCATGTATTTTCCTTTCAGCTTGCTGAGGTATACTCAAAACACAGATATTTTTATAGTCCGAATATCTTACTGGCTGGCAATGTAAAAAGATAGTATTTGTGGGATTCTATTATAGCACAATGAATCAAAAAAGGCAGTCCAGCAGGCCTGTATATAGAGATCAATATAACATTTCAATAATGGCATCATTATGTATTGTGTCTATAAAGGTATAACAAGCTGTCAACATTAATTCTGAACCTGAGCTGAAAGGCTGGTACAGGAATGACACTTCAGTATGCGGACGGAGCTTGAAAAGGCTATTGGTTATTTTAGAAACCTGACGTTTTATAGTCAGCGTACAGATTAAACCAAAGATATTTACCTTCTTCTTTGATCTCTCTGACTTCTTGGAAATGTTCTTTACTTTCGTATGGAGATGATATAAAACCTTGGGGGGAAAAGGGAGCAATATATTGAATGGGTAATTGAATTGCGTATATTAGTATTTGAACTTCTCGTACAAGCACGAAAAATTAAAAGAATTGTTTTAGCATGACTTCAACCAAAGCTGAATTTGATACTGTGAGACTTTTAATTCTAAGCCCTCTTCAGTTCTTTCTCCTTCAAGAAACAAGGTTTGGAAAAAGCATTGAAACAGCTATGCTTCCAGAAGACCTAGTTTAGCATATATTAAGAGCTCAGCTGGCACTATGCTGAAATCCACAGGAGTCTTTCCATGGATTTTGAATTTTAGATTGTGCCTCAGGTTATCTACATTTATTCTCTAGGCTGATTATATACAAAGGCAGAGAGCAGGCTGCCAGTACTATACCCTGGTGTGACTGTCCTGCCACTCCTGAATGCTGCACTAACAAATGGGGCAGTTGGAGTGGGTTCTCCTTTCAGAGGGATAGTCATAAGAAATGTTAGAGCACTGTAGGGAAATTCTCAGTTAACAACATCTATATCAAGCTTTTGAAACCTGATTACAGCACAGCAGTAACCTTGCAATGTTTATACTTTGGCCTTTGCAGCTAACAGACTAAATTTTCTAAAGCAATTAGTGAACAAAAAAAAAAGCCTCTATTAAATGCAGCTCACCTTCTAGTTGCTGCTGTCTCACCTAGGGCAGTGAGGGGACAAACAGCTGGAGCTACAGTGACAGGAGTTAAGAGCTCTAGTGGCTTTTTCTCTTGTGACATGCAAGGCCTGAGGTTTAGACTTTTAGCTTAAATGTAAGTGCATTGTCCTGTCATTAGCACTAATGATAGCAGAACAGATTACTATTGACAGTAATTAATTTTTGATTAAACAAACATGAATTTAAATACCAGGAAAACTTTCCTTTTCTCCAAGAGGGTAGACCTGCAACTGACTAGTGACAAGGAAGTCCAGTCCCTGCACAACAGGGTATTAATTCAAAATTCACAGAAAACTTATTCTGCATGCTAGCACAACTCATAGACTTACTGTCAGTCTTAAACACACTAAAGATCAGTCAGGGGAAAACAAAAATTTAAACAATAGCAATCCACAAGAAGAAAGGAAGAGTTTTCTTGCTGAATAAAACTCTCATCCTAAAGATCTCTTTTTGCAAGTCTTTGCAAGACACAGTGTCTGAGCTTTGTGTCCAAAAAAAAAAACACCCCCCCCAAAAAAAAACCCAAGAAAAAAAAAAAACAAACAACGGGTTGATGTCTTTAATACTGTTTCTGTACACGCCCTGCATAGTTTCTCCCTCCATGGGTTTTTCCTCTTGCCAGGAACAAACATTTGTTATCAGGAAAGAACAAACAGAAAAATAGGAAAAATAGTAAGAGTCTTTAGGGGATTTGGGTGTCAACTTAGCAGTTGTAATCCTTTTTGTGAGCTGGTGTAATTTCATTCTCTGTTTTCCTTCCCTCCCCCTGCCTCAGAGAAGTATTCTACACCAGGAGAGAATACGGAAAGGATTGGATCTATTATTTGTTGGCTGCATAGCTTAAGTGTACACATCCAAGCCACCAAGAGTCTGGGAGTGACCTTTCCCTCCATTTAAACATTACTCATGTCCCTCTCACCCACCTTGGCATAGCAGCAGGTGATGAGCACCAGAGGCAGGAGGTATCCCACCAGCAGGATGGTAATCTTGTACATCTGCTTGGCTGTTGAACTATCTGCCCAGTGCTCCCAGCAGAAAGAGCTGTTGGGTGCTTGCTGATGACCACTCATGAGGGCCTGGTGCTGGGCTACAGGGATGGCAATGAGTAGAGACAGCAGCCAGATGACACCCACGCCAAGGGCAGCGTTGCGCTTGCTGCGGATGCAGAGTGAACGCTTGGCATGGACCACAGCAATGTATCTGTCCACAGACATAGCCACCAGAGTAAAGATGCTCACCAGCATTGTTGCCATGGCCAAATAGTGAACCCACTTGCAAAAGAAGGCACCGAAGATCCACTCTGGCAAGGAGTAGATGGTGGCCTGGAAGGGGACGCAGAACAGCAGAAAGGAGAAGTCTGCAATGCTCAAGTTCAGGATGAAGATGTTGGTAGTGCTGCGTGATGGGCGTCCCCCAGGCCGGAGACGTCCCAAAACAACAAACACTAACGTGTTTCCCACCATTCCCAGGAGGAAAATCAACCCAAAAAGCACTGGTACGATCAACACCTCCGGGCCACCCCTGCTTGCTCCTGACCAGTACGCTGGGGCCTGTGTTTGGTTAGTCTCAAGGCTGCACTTGCTGGTGTTGGCTCCAAGGGAGAGCACAAAGTTGTCTTCCTGCTCCTCCATGGAGCCAGGCTGCTTGGAAGGCAGGGAGCAGTTGCTGTAGCCCTGACTGCTGTCAGGCATGTCTATGTTAGTGGTGGCCAGAGGCTGAATGCTTGGGTTTTCCAATGCTCTGTGTCTCTCCTTTGGGGAGCAATTTTCTTCAGATGATTCTTCCAAGCTCTGTCTGTCTCTGGTGCAGATTATTCCAGGAACTGGCAAAAAAGGGTGTTGAGGAATTTTCTCATCCAAGAGGTAACTGCAAGTTTGGCAGTTGCTGCTGGAGAAGCTCTCATGGCAGAGGGAAAGTCCGTGCCAGAAGGGCTGAGGATGAAGCTGCTCTGGGAGCTTGGAGCAGAGGCAAAGCGACTGCAGCTCAGCTTCCTCACGCCCCTCCTTCTGCTTCCCTCCCACGCCAGTCCCTGGATCTGCAGCTGTCGTACCTGCTCTCCCAGCTCCAGTCAGAGCTGTGGCAGTGAGAACAAACGCTGTCTGTGACCTGAGCGCTTCAGAAAATAACCCCTGATCAGCTCTGCCCCTGTAAGTTACTACTCACAAGGAGGGGAAGAGCAGAGCAAAAGCATAGTTCTCATCCAAAGGGATGGGTCGAGCAGCAACTGCTGAGCAATAGCGTGTATAGTTCTGTGAGGAGCAGCATTGGAACTGGCTGCATGAGGAGGAAAAAGGCTAAAATATGTGGTTTTATCAACAGAGCAGGATTTTTTTGTTTCATACTCTCTCTAATGTGCTCACATTAGAGCATAAAGCAATCTGGATAGTTGTATTTTCAGCACAAAAAACTGGAAGAGCCTTAGACTCAGCAGCTGCGTCCTGCCACTTCTTGGCTATCTGCCCAAATTCCTTAGTGCCTGAACATTCATTGATCATGTTGATCCTGCTGTAATGAAGTTCCAGGTTCAGCCCAGTAGTGCCAAGAGCATCTGGACTGGAAAAGGAAAGGTTCAGTCTTGGTAACTGTGAGCAGCTGTAGTATTCCCTGCTAGGGAATAGAGATATGGATTTGGGAAAAAAAAAAAAAAAAAAAGTAAGTTTTATTAAGGGTTAATGGCTTAGTTATTGTGGTTTTGATGCTTACTTACAGAAACAGTACGTATGTTTTAGAAAGCACTAAGTAACTTGGTTTTAATGGTATGTTCCCTCACATTTCTTAAGGGATTCTGTGAACTCTACAGGTAGTAAGGAGGGAAACAGAGTTTAGGCAAACATTAACAGTACCTGCACACAGTGATTTATGCATGCAGGGCAGCTTCTTGCATAGAAGAGTACACGTCTTGATTTTTCAGTGGTTACAAGTCTAGGCACTTGGTCAGGGTGGCCCACCACTGGCTCCTGTGGATGTGGAGGTTAGACTGGAGGGAGTCCCTTAATTTTTGAAATGAAGTTCTGTGACTGAGAATTGCCATGCCTTGTGACTTGTCTCTAAGATCTGGTTGAGAGAGGTCATAGTGCTGCCTTAGCCTGCTCTGATATACTCATTTAAAATCTGTTATGAAGCTAGACTCCTTATTTCCCCCCATAGTTTTGAGGCTAGTTATGGGGTGAGGTGGGAAGTGGCTAGGGAGTGAAAGTTGCAGTGGAAAATGTATCTACCCTTGTTGTGTGCCAGCAAGCAGATCACTGGCTGGGCCAGCTACCTGGATGCCACCTGCAGCTCTCTTAGTCTTCTGCAGCCCGGCTGCCTTGAGTGCTGTGGCACAGCACCTCAGACACCATTAAGTTTTCCAGTCCCCCAAATCTTCTGTCTGTTTGCTGGGATCTCTGCCCTCAGCTTGCAGACAGCTGCTTGCAGTGCACTGCTTTCAGGGACCCTGCAAGCTCTGGGGTTGTGCTGCAGATCTGAGTGCCATCTGCTGGCATTTCATCTCCTTCACTGCTTTCAGACAGCTCCTGTGGCGGTCCTTGTTCTTTCTTTCCCTCAAACATACTGTCCCACCGTTTGGTAATGAATCTACCTGCTGTTGTTTTCCTCTCATCCTCGTGCACGTCCACATCGTTAAATCATGAAACTTAAATATTCTTGCTTTTCCTTTTCTGTTAATATGTGACCATCATAAGGTTACTTCTTGTGAAACTATTCATGTGACTTCGTGTAACATTTTAGAGAAGTCTATTGCAGGTGATTTCAATAGCTATTGCTGTATTTTAGATATGTTTTGGTTTTGTTCCATTTTCTTTAGTGGGCAGTCATATCAGAAAGTATTATTTAAGAAGCACCCATAGCAATCACAGCAAATGAGAGAGTCCTTTTTTTTTCTTCTAGTGGGTTTGGGCAAAATAATAAAAACTGCAGCACAAATGGTTTCTACTGCAGGGGATTTGAGACAATGCATGCAGGAATTTGAGAACTTGTATGTATGTGTCACCTGCAGAACAAACACAGCTTTGCAGAACTAAAAGATTGCATGGCACACCAAGTGGAAGATGGGCAGAGGACAGCACAGTTCTAGCAGTGAGGAGGGAGAGATCATAGGATTGTTTAGATTTGTAAAAAAATTTTCAAAAATCTCCTAAATTCTTGCAGAAGGGACATTACCAGCTTTGTTCTCCATCTTCAGAATACTATTTGATTTTTTTTTAAAAAAATAGACTGCTCCAGGGTTGGTTTTTTTTCAGATTTCAGTGAGAGTGTTATAACTGGGGGAGTGGGAGGAAAGGTGAGTATTCTGAATGGAAAGTGGCAGCGACCTGCTGAATTAGATATCCAGTAAGCTAGGTGCAAAAACTCAGCTTGTTTTCACTGGGGAACTGAGATGCTGCAAATCTGACTTTAAATGGAAGTTGGTTGGTCTGGGAGTATTCCTGGCTGGCCTTACTTGGGAGGAAATAATTTCCAGCGGTAATTTACATGCTTTGCTGAAAACTTGTCCTGAAATCATGCCTACCGTGGCATTCAAAAGTTCTAAAAAGGTAAGCATTCCTTTTTCTGTTTCTCTCTTTCTGCCAGTTCTCAACTGCTTTAAATGGTGTGGTTTTGACAGGGAGAAAGCCCCTGTCCTTGAGAATGCACAGCGCAAATGCAGCTGGATGAGAACTGACCGTGTGGAGACAAAGTACCTGCCATAAGACATATTCATTAGTCCAACTAGGAGGAGAAGATCAAGTCACTTTCTTGAGTGCAGGAGCACAAATAGCAAGTGAACCTGTAATACCTGGTTTGCTGGGAGCATCCATGTTGTGTGTGGTACTTCTGTGGTGTTTCACCTGAAAACCAGAAACAATTGATGCACTGTGGATTGAGCTGCATGAAATAGCTCTACAAATTCTGCTGTTCTTTAGAAACTCTGTTGCTTCCTGGATGAAGACAACAAACATTTAAACGTGAGTAAGAAGACGTAGGAAAAGGAAACTGAATATCCTCTGTGGGAGGGGAAAAAAAAAGGTAGAAGTCTCACAGACATCACCTCGGTCAAGACTGAACTGGAAGCCACATGCTGTTGCCTTTGAGTTGATGTTGGGCTAAATGAAAGCACTGGACTTGCATGCTGAGTCCCTGACTAAACACGCATCAGAGGTGTTTTGTTGAGAGAGGACAGCACTGGATCTTTATGGATAAATTGGCAGTCCCACATTAAGGCGAAGAGAGGGAGAATGTCAGCCTTAGGAACAAGGGTAGGGGGGAAAAACCCAAAGCATTAGATGGTAGTATTTAAATGGTAACATTTTTAGCCTGTATAGGTACAAACTAATTTGTCCATTTTCTGATTGCTAATGGGTGCTTCAGCTCCTAATTACATTGAATATCAGGTATGTTGCAAATCACTCTTACTGTTTTGATAGTCGTGGTTTAGCTTTTTGATACCTATGCATTAGCTCTCTAAGCCTCTTGACTTTTGAGTGGAAGAGGGCACTCAAGCATAACAGCGAGCCAGAACCTCACTTGTCATACTTTTTTCCCTCTCTGGAGAATGTGGGTTACATCTCAGATCCAGATCCATTTAAGGGAAAACAAACAGGCATCTAGCCCCAAAAGTCCAGTTTGTGGCTTTGAGTTTGGCATCTGTCTTTTTATACTGTGGTCTTCAGAAGACTGACTTGGGCTGAAAAGCCCTTTAGGCTGAGTAACAAGCTACCTAGATGCAGCTGCTAGGAAACAAGCAACGGTAGGTCTGAAATCTCTGCACTTGTCTGCACTTGGATTGTAACAACCCGCTCCTATTGTGACCCCGAGCTTGGTTATGCCCTGGTGAGAGAAGATGCAGTGTCCATTCCTCTTTAAGTATGACCCCAAGAGGGGCAGGAGGTCCTGCTGCCCACTCTGCATATATTGGCCCAAAAAATGGGAGCCCAGATTCAATTCCTTTCCAACCCCGCAAAATCCCTTTCCTAAAGGAACTGAAATCTTCATCCCCTCGACACTAAGTCACTTGTCCACCAGGCCATAAGCCAAGCTGTACAGGGTAGTCTTGCCCATGTAGGAACTATGATGAAGTGCTGCAGAGAGTGCAAACATCACAGGGCCAGAAGAAAAATAATTGACTGTTCAAGCTAGGCACTTGGTGGAGGAAAGAAGGGGTTCTGAAGTGTGACTTCCCTGCTTCATGAATTTTAGGGTTAAAAAATCAATATAATGAATAAGTAAATCCTTTCAACTTTTGTGAGCTGTAAAGTTTGAGTCTCTTGGGGAGGGATTTGAATCTCACTCTGACCATGACAATGTCAAACATTGTACGATACGAAAAGAGGAGTCTGAAATTGTTAATGTGCTATGTCAGTATGTGAACTAAACTGGAACCTCAGGTGTGATAAAGAGCCATTCCCTCTCACCTGTGGATCTTGGAGGGCTGGACAGGAGACTGGTAAATAGCTGTCTCTTTGGCACAAGCCTGTGTGTGTGTGTGCACAAGGGAGAGCCTTCTAAGCACAGAAGGGGTTGGTTTAATCAAACAGCTGGCTGAAAGGGTACTCCCCTGCATATAGGTAACTAAAGTCACAATTACCAAAGATCAATCACTTCATCTCTTTTGAAGAGTTGCAATTTTATTGGGCTGTAAAACTCTTCCCGATGAAAGGGGTTT